CCCCCCCGCCGCCCGGGCCTGGAGACAGAGTCCTGTGATGGATACGACTGGTGAAACAGGGACACATACACACATGCACACACATGCTTCCATCACTGTGTGCTGTGATGGATATGACTGGTGAAAGCTCTGAGCGCTGCTTCCTGAGCCCTTCACTTCCTTCCTCGCGAGCCTCGACCGGCGAGGCTGAGCCAGGTTTCACTAAACTACGGCTGGATTGGGTTGCAGATTAAGAGGCTTCCTGTCCTGTTCGCTGGCCGAGTTCATCTGCTTTTCTGACGGTCACTTTTGTTTATAACCCACGCAGTGACTTTCCTGAGGATAAATGATTCCTATTAGGATGGATGAGAGGCTGAGGTGAAGAGGTTTATAAAGGAGAAAAAAAAAAAATACAGATAAATGACAGGAAAAAAAAAATCTAACTATTCACTGATCAGTATTCATGTGACCAAGAACCTAATGAAGAATATCAATGCTGAACTATTTATAGCTGTTCATTTCATCTGTCATCTTCCATCCATCATCTAATTTAAATGCATAAATTGCTTTCTTTCTTTTTTTTTTTTTACAAATAAAATACCAAGACAGTATTTTGTAAATAAATGAAACTAAATAAATCTACATGATTTAATGTACATACATCTAATTATAATTTATATGAAATTATATAAAAATCTAAAGTAAATAAAGTATGTTTAAAAGTACTAGAGAATTACAGCCAACAAATTCATCATGTATTAACAAATAATGAATAAATAATACAAATAAATAAATAGAACTACAAGAAATTATCAAAATATTAAAAGAATTTGAAAAGAAAATCCCATTCAAACATGAAATGTTTTAAAGATAAAGAGGGAGTTTCTAGAAAAATAATGGCAGATGAAAGGGCAAAATCAGAAATTATAATAAAGCATTTAAATAAATTACAAAGCCCTTATTTGGTTTGCTTAAAGTGCATTCATCACTGTTGATTTAAAAAAAAAAAAAATTCCCTCCTTATTAAAAAAAACATTTTTCACACAACGGGTAGAACGTTTACTTAACAGCACTAAGGTTAAATCAACACGATGGTGTTTTTCTTTTCCTTTCTTGAAAACTGAGAAAAACTGACATGTTTGAGGAACTCAGACAAAAAGATTCACTCCTAACGTCAAGAAGAAGGAAAAATGAAATAAAGAACATTTCACTAACAAAAAAGTATTTTCTTCCCCATTTTCCAAAAACAACTGAGTTGAAATAAAAAAAAAAAACTTTCTCGATCCCAGTTACTTGTTTTGCACAGTTTTTCTTTCTGTTAGACTTCTCTTTCTCAGACAAGCCTCGGGGAAACAATTATATCTGTGAAATCACGTCCATTGTCATTTTGTTCGCCATCCCATCAGCAGCCGCCCCACACCTCTCATCCTCCTCCTCCTCCTGCTGCTCTCCTGCTGGCAGTCCTTGATTACTCCCGTCTCCTGGGGGAAGGTTTAAACCCCTCAGAGATAGTAATATCGAAAGCACTACTGGGCCAGTCACTTCAGATCAGGGCGGGGGGAGGAAATGGCGATGGACATAAAGCTAAATATATAATTCCTCCCATGCCGGTAATCACGATGTCCAGACAATTCGAAATGACAGTTTAACCACTTTGGACTGGGGAACGCTTTGTTCCCATTTGAGAACCAGGGTGGACCGTCTGCTGGGTCCCTGCGGAGGCCGGGGAGTGTCCTAGTGGGTGTGGAGGCCTTCCTGGGGTCCAGTGTGGTCTCCCTAAATGCTGTGGGGGATCTGGGGGGCAGCATAGCACACGCTCCATTAAATTAAAATGACTCACAGACCAGACAGGAGCAATTCTGGGAATGACTGACGGAAGGAAACTCTCTCATTGCCTGCTATTTGCTTACCTGATTATTAGGATATCCAGCTTCCTCCTAAAATACTCATTCATTTCCCCGTTAGAGGAACTGAGAGCGCCCACCTGGATTAATAGACACAACCAAACCTGATGCCAGATATATCTATGTGCACGTGTGTATATATATATATATAAAACATCTATAAATATTAATGGGCTAATTTGCACATATTTTTCTCCCCTCTGTTGCCCTGAGATGATCAGAGACACTCCTAAATTCATTTAAATTTTTAGGCCCCATTTGCATATGCAGAGATTTTACTTCCAAACAGGCCCTCTCAATATGTCTTTTTACCCATCATCACAACCGGAGAGGAGAGTGCATTTCATTTTCAAGCGCTGATTGGATCCTTGATGAGATCTTCAGGGTGGCTTCTCGCACTGCGATGCTCCTTCACTCTCCAGAGGTGATGAGAGGCGAGAGAGAGAGGAAGAAGGAGGAGGAGGAGGATGAGAGGTAAGTATGTGGAGTCGAACCCACTCTGTCTGTCCTGAAGTGGTCGACGCTGTTGTTGTCCAACCGTCCTCTATCTGCTGCTGGAGCAACGCGACCAAGGCAAGAGCGAGACGGCAGCACGCGCTCCTCTTCGTCGGTGTATTCTGTGGCTGCGCAATAAAAAGAACATCTGACTGGCGAATGTCAAGATTCTCTTGGACTGTGTGGAAAATGCAGCTTCAAAGTGGAAATATTCCAAAAGGGAAGTCAAAAATGATGAATGGCTCTGAACTGACTGGGAAAGACATTCAGTTGTGTGCAAAAAGTTTTAAGCAGGCTTTAATTTAGTCCAAGGAATCATTCCTATTGTAGTCATTTAAAGTGATTACAACAGGAATGTGTGAAGTTTTGATCCTGATGCAGGACCAGAAAAATGCATCAGCCTTCATCTGGTTTTATCAAACAGCCCTTTGAAAGCAACCTGTTGGTGCTAACACACTGAACCTTTGTTTTTGTGTGTATATATATATATATATATATATGTGTGTGTATTTTAATAATTTTTAAACAAATTATATATTTAAATTTTTTATATATTACATAATTATAAAATTGTACATTTTATTTTTTATAAAATTGCGATGTATTGATTCTACAATATATAATCAACAAATCGTAATTTTGGTAGTAGTAGTTTTATTATGAGTTTTAATTTTCTTTGTTTTCAATAATCTGTTATTCTGTTTTCAGTTCATGTTGATTAACTGTAGTTTTGTTTTAAATTAATTGGATGCACACTGCTACTTTAAAGATAAACTAATCATTGATCCTGCTACTTTATAACACAATTATAATTATTTTTCATTCTTTTATTTTCCATAGCGTGGTTTTCATAGTCCCATAATTTTATGCCAGACTCTGTAAAATGAATGGAAATTAAACAAAGACAACCAGAGAACTCCCACTGTGTTAGTGGTTATTGAGCTACTAAACAGCAACAGCCTAAAAGACAAAGTGAGAAACTTTTCTAAAGACGAGCTCTGTGGAAAATGTTTTTGATAATGCCAGCATTAACCTAATATCATCAGCGTAAACCAGAAACAGGTGCTGATGGTGTTGCGTTGCATTCACTGCATTATTATTTATACGATTTGCGAAGGAACACGACACACAACCTGTACAGCCTATAAAAAAGACAGAAAAGAGTGACATTAAATCCGACTTACCAGCGTTCCAGGAACATGTTTAAAAATTAAACTGGTCACTAAAGGAGGCTGTGGGTGTCTGAAAGTTTTCATATCCGTTACCTTCAACCAGTGATGCAGCACCACAAGCTTTTTGGTCATTTTTTTTAATGACACAACAGTCTGAAAAAAAAAATAAAAATCCTACTCCTGTTTGTCAAATATAAATGACATATAAATGCCTTTACAAGCATTTATACGACCAATTAAGATCAGAGTCTAGCTGCTGCTACCACAAACATTAATGTGAAAATTAGTGAAAAAGTTGATCAAGACCAGAAAGTCTGGGTCAGGTCAGAATAGAGCAAGTCCGAAAAATCATTTGCACAATCCTGGATGGCAGATATATATATTTTAAACATCTCAACTTATAGAAATAATGTATTTAAATTTAAGAGGTGCTGTATGACCTAAAATTCAATTACATAAATGTTGAACTTTTCCTTAATATTTGTAGAAGCCTGGGATGGTGACTCAGTCAAGTTAAACCATGGATACATCTAAAACAAAAACAAAAAAAGAAACACAAGAAAGGACACATCCTGAACAAAATCTGCAGCAGATTTTGTTCTACTACAGAACAAAATCTGCAAGAACAATAAGTTTGCAAGCTTATTGTTCTTGCACAATAAGCTTGTGTTCTTGCAAACTTTACGACAGTTCAGTGTCTCAACTCTTCTGCTGCTATAATATCAAACCTGTAATCTTCTGTGAACATCCACCTTTGAGGAAATAACATTAAACCTTGCTTAGCAGCGAGCACCAGACTGGACACAGGTGTAATACCACTTTGCGCCTCAAGATGGGGTTGTTAATCACCGTTGCAAACCGTCTGCCCTCAGTCAAACGTGACAAAACAAGTTAGTCTATTCAGTTTGTTCACCATGTAAAGCTCTCGTCATTCATTAAAGAGTGTAGTTGTTAAAATAGGAAGCATTTAGGAAATATGCACAACTAAGCCTAAATTCTCTTCTGGAGATCCTAGTATTTCTTCTAGCTAACCAACATGTTAACTCATCTTTCTCACAAAGCTAAATTATGCATTTTATCAGACAGATCATGAAAATGTTTAGTAGAGGAGTTCTCTGATGCTATAAACTCAGGTGAGTCTGTCAAAATGTATTAATACTTGATTTAAAAAGAAAAGAAGCGGCATTAAATTGCCTGGGTCTTTATGGGAAAGTGCTCTTTAACCACTAGATACGGCGCTGACCCCATTTGAAAGCAGTCCAAGTAAAGATGCGTAAAAAGCCTCAACATAAATCCGTCCTGTATTGCAGCAACACATTCTCAAACAGACGAACGAGGAACAATGTGACCTTTAATTTCAGTACATTTATTGAGTAGGAACAGAAATACCACATAAGGAAATAATTGCTTTTTAACAGAATCAACAGTGGCACAATCATTGGTTCCCCTGCTGTACAACCCTCTTTTGGCAAAACAACACAGGGAAACTTGTAGTAAAATCCAGACTTTAATTTCACTACATTAAATCAGCGGAGAGAAAAGGGAAGTTGAGAAAACAAAACAAAACAAAAAAAACCCTCTCAACTGCAGTAAAGAGTGATATCTCTGGATTACCAAGGTAAAAATGAATCTTTGAAACAACCACCAACTCCATATGAATGTGAAGTGAAACAATTGACAGATTTTTAGGGAGAAAAACCTTCCTTTCTACTCTTAAGTATAGTGGAGGATCTGTGATGCCGTGGGACTCTTTTCTTCCAAAAGCAATGTGAGATTTTAAGAGTGCATGAAATAATTAACTCTCCAGCACACAATCAGACTTTAAAAGGCTGATGGTTTCTGTCAGGAAAATAGACAATTTATCATTAATGGATCTCAAAGATATGGTGATTCAAAATAAATGTTTTTTAGTTTTTACCAAACAGTAAGACAAACCTTTTCCATGTCATACCAAGCATGTAGGCAACAACATTGTGAAACGTGAGGAGTGTCGTCCATAAAGGATCAATTACCGGTTCTTCTATTAACAGAAGAAGAACCAGTAATTGTGCCACTGGTAAATTTGTTAAATATCAATTAAATATTAATTATTACCAATTATTACCTAATGTACAATTTTCCCCAGTTCGGTTTTTCCTTTTCTTTTTTTTTTCACTGTGTGAGTACGTTACACTGCAGTAGAGGATGAATTCATCTTAAGTTCTATGTATTTTTACAGGAAATGCTACTGAATGTGACCTTTCTAATATTTAGGATGCAAACTTTCACCCTTCTTGCAAAAAGAACGAAAACAACTCTTACAAACAGCATGTTTGCGCTTTGTGCCAGCTGTGAATAAAGGCCTGCCCTATCAAATCAAACGTTTACCGAACTAATTTGGCCTTGTATATTTTTTTGAGGCGTCGCCAAAGGATACAGCCAAACTTCCACAGAGACAAAATCTCCACCGCTCTCTTGTTGGCAAACAAGCGCGGTCTCACACGCTAACGCCGGACGGTCGCAGACGTGTACGTCAAAAAAAAAAAAAAAAAAAAAAAAGGCAGCGCTGCTGGTAGTAGTAAACATTCAAAAAGGAACAGGGGTAATTCAGTTGATAAATGTCAGCCGAAATGAAGCTATCAGCTGAAAGCAATTTCCTTGTGCTTTGCCTGTGTTGTGCGCCAGGGACTTTGGGAGATTTTTCTCCCCTCCATCGATCATGAAGCCTCTGTTTTAGGCCAAGGTACACAATGCCCTCAAATTGCTGACATATGGACCAAGAATCACCACAAAAACCTGACATTTCCACCCCGCCCTCCTCTGTCCCAGCCTGTCCACTCCTCTGCTAAACTCTTGTTTATCCAGTGACTCTGGACTGTTTGGACCATTAAATAGCAGACACAGACAGAGGACTCTGGACATTAAAACCACGCACAGTAAAACCCCCAGTGACACCGGCGACGCCACCTATTCCTAAATCCAATTTGGAGAAGTGAGAATGCATTGCAATAAAAATGTAATTAGCAGCTGCAGAGTGGCTGCAGTCATCAAATGACTGTGTGGCTGTGAGATCAAGTGTGGGCAGACTAAAAATAAAGCCTGTCTGACTTGCGGGCTGCCTGTGACCAGTAGCGGAAGGAGCAAAAGAAATCATGATAAAGATGATGACACCAGCCACATAATGGCACAGAAAGCCTCCAGCTGGTATAAACAGAGGGCAGATGAAAGCAGAGCCGGACACAATGTGCGTGTGCTTTTCTTCCTTCGCTCCAACTATTCCTGTTATTGACTTGGTTTCAACAGCTCCTGCAAACCAGCTATTCTCAGCTGCAAGTCTGAAAAGTGAAGCTATTTAAAGACAAAGGAGGCCAAGTGTAGAACATTAAAAGCCTCTTTTTCCTAATGGACGACCACGGTGCCAGCAGCCGGGGCCCCCTGAAGGTCCCTGCACAGGAAAAGTCCATTATCACTCCAGCTAATGGAGCAAGGGGCCGGCTTTAAACCAAAAAGTAAAGCAAATGAAAAGAAAACAAGAGAGAACAAGATGACGCACATGCTTCAAAGCAGTGTTTCTTTAATGGGGTCCATCAATAATGTGTCTTTCCTGACTTTATTGTGTTTAAAATAGAGTAGCCATGTTATCAATCCTAGACATGGACAGAAATTAAAGGCTCTTTTTCCCTCCCTCCTGATGTGCATTTTTACCAGACTGAGAATCAATGCGAAACAAATGTTTGGCAACACGCTAATGGTATCTGCCTAAGTTTCGAGAACAAACTGCGTCTTACTCTTGCCACCAAGGAAAACCCGCAGCCAGTTTACATTCGGATGGGTGCGCTTGCTTTGTATAAACAGACAGCCCCTGTGGCGAGGAGTTTGATGAGGAGGAGGCCCACAAATCCCATTAAAAGGCCATTCGTCCCCTGTTGGATGTTTGTTTGAAGATGGGGAGAGTAACAAGGAAGAGGAGGGAGGTGACAGGCAGTCGGTCGTCGTCGTTGCCGTTTCCGTGCCAGTTTCTGTTTACGCCTTTACGCAGCTGGACGCAAATATCGCACGGCAGTGATGGGTACCCAACAGTGTGGTCAAGAAGAAAAGATTCAGCAGACCAAAACGTGCGTCTGTGGATGATTCAGAAGCCAACATGATCCAGTCTCTGTTACCAACAGGTTCACTTTCGTCTTATCGATGCTGAAATATGTAACTGGAGACTTAATGGTTTTCTTTTCTTACAGTTATCCTAAAAGTTCTTTGGTCTTGACTGCGAGTTGTTTGTCGATTTCCGCAGCAATGTTGTCTGCCATCTGTTGAATCTATAAAAAAAGAAAAAAAGAATATATAGGGAGTTAAAAGTGATTTTTTTTCTTTTTACTCTCTTAGCTGTGAAGTGCCCTGTAGGGGTTGTACCTGTTTTTCTACGAGTCGTATTGTGTCTTCAGAGTGACCCTCTTTTGCCTTTTTCACCTGGCTGACAGAATTGGAGCGCACTCTCCTCAGAGAGTCTTTAGCCTTGTTGCTGAATTGTTTGGCCAACTTGGCAAGGTTTTCTCTGTGTTCCCGTGTCACTCTGCCGTTAAAAGGAGGGGAAAAAAAAAAAAAAAACATTGACAAAAGAAAAATAGGTTGATGACGAGGATTCACGCTGGATTAGGGCGATCTCTGAAACAGTTCAAGGGTTGCCTAATCACAGCAAATTCACAGCTCAATAAAAAAAAATGTAAATAAGAGGTTTCTGCAGCTCCACCATCAGTTTCAGATTTGTTGTGGATGAGCGTACGTCGTTAGGACTGTCAATTAATCAGCATCCTGAGAAAATGCAGGTGTGAGGGTTTTATGTACAGTTTCATTGCACTATTCAGTATGACTTCCTCTGCACACATATCACAGAGTTAGAAATATTCATGGACACAAAATCCAAAATGTAGGTGATTTTACTGATCACTGAGCTGTTCGTATTACTCTGAGATTTGAAACCGTTTGTTTTGTATTGTGCTAACCTGAGTGAAGTTGCCCCTCCCCCACCCACCTGCTTCAAATTAAACAAAACTGGCATCAAACGTTTGTGCTATGTTTGTATAGGTTTGTGCAACCAAACTTTTTGTTGTGCTGCAACCAACCAGTCAGGCCAAAATCAAAAATGGTATCAATTAAAAAAAAAAGTAATGTCTATAACTGGAGAAAGAAGTCCACACACGATCTCAAAGTTATGTCACAACTAAGTTTAGATATTTTATGTCTGATATTTAGTTGATATGAAACATTCAGATTAAAAAAAAAATTACTTTATCTTTGTGACGAATGTCTAATAAAGTAGCTGAAGAGCAGATTTAAAACATGATATTTGCTACATTGCCTAATATTTTACTGACAATCCAGGCTAATCACCTGAGGTTAGGAAAATTTTATTTCTGAAACATCTCAAAAAAAAAAAAAAAAGTGAAATCGTTAAATGCAAAATAAGTGTAAAGTCCAAAAGAAAACTGAAAACTAGTGAAGGGTCGTCGTAAAAAATACTTTGGCCGTTCTTTGCGTCCTACACAGTTACAACTTTACCTGATTGTAGCATGGCTGAGCTTAAAAAAAGATTGTGAATGTAAATGCACAAAATGATATCCTCACTCAAGCAAATGGATATACTTAGTGCTTGTTAGCCTTAAACATAAACCTTGTAGTTCTAACTCACAGCTTTGAACTACAATCACTTCGAGGACATAAAGCTGAGTTGGAGAAAAGAAAAGAAAAGATCCTCCCAACAAGTTTGCATCTACTTTGCATTTGTCAGTCAGAAAAGTCCTGCTTCCCGTTACACTCTGCTTTTCTTGCCCATAATTGGCTTTTTCGTCTTGTTTTTGCTGCGGGGACAATTTGCAAACAATCCGAGTGCCGCGTCTATTTACTGCAAACAATGCGGCCTAATTACCGATTCCAGGGCCAATCAAGAAGCGCCTTTCTTTGGAAATGCAAATGGAGGCTCGGAGCGTGCCGAGACTGATTGCAGGGGGAAAAGCAGACCGACTCTTGTGTCCCTCCTCTGCCAGACTAACACCTGCTGCTTCACATGCACGCCACCACACACGCACATAAACACGGGAGGCACGCGGACTCACATGCACACTGTGTATATGCAAAAACCATAGTCTTTACACACAGAGAGCGGCTTGTTGAGTGAGTGACGGATTGTTTTGTGTGAGGTTGTTTGATTTGGCAGGGGAAAAAAATAGAAAGGGTGAGAGATATTTAGCAAGAGTAGAAATAGAGAGAGTGACCTGACAATCATGCCAGCACACTGAGGCTCTCTAAAACTCCTTCTGAAAAGTCAATAAACCTGTCAGCTACAGCAAAGGTTGTGGATTTATTTATTAATGAAGTGAAACAAAAACCGTGAGAGATTATGTGTGAGATTTGGCTGCGATACTTGCATGCTGGATGACGTTTCATGGGAAGAACAGGCAGAAGTTTGTGTTAAAAACGAGAGAGGAAGGGGGAAAAAGAAACAGAAAAATGACAGAGGAAAAACAAAAGTGAGCAGAAGATGGAAAAGAAGGAAAAGTGGCAAAGCGGAGGAAAGGCTTTCTGGCCTCTGGCGTATTTGTGTGTCAGAAGGGGGACTCACTTGGGAACGGGCACCTTGATGATCGTCCCGTCCGCCTCTGGGTTTAAGTTCATGCTGCTCTCTCTCAGGGCGCGGGTGGCCGCCGCTGTAGCCTGGGGCGGGAGGCAGAAACACACACACACACACACACACACACACACACACACACACACACACACACAGAAATACAACTTCAGCACCGGTGTGAAAGGAAAAGCAGAGCCACGGCTACAGGTAGTGACTGCGTTCCAGCTGGCAATCATTAGGGTAGTGTGTGTGAGTGTGTGTGTGTAAGTGTGTGTGCCAGGGGAATCCCGTGTAGCGTGGAAGTGCCTTGGGCCACTGTCAGCGCCGGGTCTCATGGGAGGGGACTGAGAGGTTGCAGGGGCACAGAGTTGACCTTTGACAACCTCACAGGAGAGTCTGCCTGCACTCGCGTTTGATACATGAACACTAGCATGTGTTTCAGCTCATTTGAATTCAATAAATATTGTTCAGAAAGATGGAAGTAAAGATGATTAGTTGAGCCATATTTAAAAAACATAAATACCATAAATATGTTTCAGATTCTCAAACAGATGTTACACAGGTTTTTATGGGTTATAATTACTGCTTATTGATATCGGGAAAGCATCCGATTGCAATATAGCTCTTGAATATCGTAGCTGTGATATTGATTGCAATTGACCCGTATTTTTCTCAACATTCTTCCTCCTCTTTTCCATCATCCCAACACCCTTCCAACAAATTAAAGCCCTGATTTCTAAGTTCTTGATCAGGTATGCACATAAAAAAACAGTAAAATTCCACCTGAGTGGCTAAATATATAATTGTTATATAACATGTAATGACATTGCAATGCAACAGAAAGAAGATCATGTTATGATAAAACCTTTTCCAATGAATGACTTTTAATTCAGTTTGCAGAAATGTGTATATCTTTGTTTATAGTTTTATCTGGTCGCTTTTCCAACCAACTGATTTAATTAAATATCTCAATAATTGTCTGAATAGATGCAGAAAAAAACCTTATTCCTCATGCAACAAAACTTTAGCAACATTTACTATCCTTGATAACATAAACCCCATTAACTGGAAGAAATAAATAGCCCAATTGATTCTAAAATTAGCCCAGTTATTCCACTATAAAGTAGAAACATTAAGTATGTAGGTATTAATTGTGCTACAAGGCTGCAAGTAGTTGCATAGTTAAACCATTTTCCATTACTTAAAACAGTCAAGGTTGATCTCTCTTGCAGGATTAACATCCCCCGTTCTCTCTTGGGAGCTACAGCTGCATTGAAATGATGGACTTCGGCTAAATCCACTGTAGATTTCCAACAGACATCTACAGTGGTGTGGAAAATGTTTGCCTTCCTTATTTCCAATTTCTTTGATTGTCACACTTCAGTGTCTCAGAACAAACCAATTAAATATTAGTCAAAGACAACACAAGTAAACACAAAAAGCAGTTTTTTAAATGAAGGTGTTTATTGTTAAGGGAGAGGAAAAAAAAAGCAAACCTACACGGCCCTTTGTGAAAAACTGATTGCCCCCTAAACATAATAATTGGTTGTGCCACCCTTAGCAGCAGCAACAACTGCAATCAAGTGTTTGTGACAACTATCACTGCGTCTTTTCCAGCTGTGGAGGAATTTTGATCCACTTATCTTTGCAGAATTGTTGTAATTCAGCCACATCGGAGGGGGACGGCCTTTTTAAGATCGTTCCACAGCATCTCAATAGGATTTAGGATCGGCCACTCCAAAGTCTTCATTTTTTTTTTTTTTTTTTTTTTTTTAATCAGGGGGGGACTTGCTGGTGTGTCTTGGATCACTGCTGCAGAACCAAAGTTTGTTTCAGCTTGACATCTTGAACAGGTGGGTGGATATTCTCCTTCTGGTCGTCTTGGTTGACAGCAGAATTCATGCTTCCATTTATCACAGCAAGTCTGTGATAAATGGAGATTATCATTAAAATATGGTGGTGGTAGATTATCACACTACCACCGCCATATTTTAATGTTGGAAGCACGTTCTTTTTCTGAAATGCGGTGTTACTTTTACCACATGTAACGTGACACACACAAGCCAAAGAGTTCGACTTTTGTCTCATCAGTCCACAGAATGTCTTCCTACAAGTCTTGGGTGTCATCAAGACGTGTTCCGAAAAAACTGAGATGCGCCTTACCGTTCTCTTTGTTCAGCAGTGGTTTTGTCTTGGAGCTCTGCCATGAAGGCCTTTTTTTTGTGGTAAATCTTGTTGGCAAAAAAATGGTGGAGGCATGACCTCTGACCTTGTTGTGGGGTCTTCTGTGCAGTCTGGAATGAGTTGTTCTTGCAGCGATTTCGGTCAGTTGGCTGATCTTGGGAAGCTTCACCGCTGTTCCATGTCTTCGCCGTGTTTTGTTGATAATGGATCACACTTTGGCTCACATGGAGTTTAAAAAATGGCTGTCCAGACTGATAAATCTCATTTTCTTTCTCATTTGTTTCTGATTTTTTTAAAAAATTTTTTTATCTCAGCATGATGTCTAGCTCTTGAGGATGTTTTGGTGTTTTTCACTTTGTCAGTCAGGTCCTATTTAAGCGATGTCTTGATTTAGAACAGGTGAGGCAGTAATCAGTTCTGAGTGTACCTAGAGATGATGAACTCAGGTTCAACAGTTTTGCCAAGACAAGTTTGCCAAAATTCTTCCAAAGTGATAAAAAAAAGACTAATTTACTATTAATGCAGATGTTTGTTTGTTATTGTGGCCGCAGAGGATTTGTCGCATCTTGAAGTGTGACAAAAACTGAAAAAGCAGAAGCCACTTTTCATGGCTTTATCATTTTTTGGCGTTCATGTTGATAATCTAATCAGTTATATTGACTATATAGTAAGGAAAACATATGAAAAAGTTTTTTATACCAGTAATCTTTTTTTGCACTACAACAAATTATTGTTACAGAAACCCCCAACCTCACTAAAACCATATCTACCATTATGCTTTTTTTTTTAAACTGGTACCAAAAAATCTAAGCTTGACATACGCCAACAGGAGAATATAAAGTATCACCAATATCCAACACAATCCTTCACTCTCTAGATTACTGAACTACACTAGAGAGCTACAGTAATGCTATATATGCACAAGAGGAAGGAAGGTAATTTTTCAGCTGCATAATAATTCCCTTAACTGACCTTTTGAAAGTATGCAAAAGTCTGATACAAAGAAATTTAAGCCATTCAATTTCCTCCTTTCCACCCCACCTCTCTTTTCTTTGACGGCTCCTTCTGGACTTTTCCCACTGGGCGCAAAGAAATGGCAGCGAGATTAAAGGAATTTATTTGTGAGTATTAAAAAAAATTCATGAGTTTTTTTTTCCTTTGTTAAAGTCATCCGGAAAGCAGGCCTCCAGTTGCTTTCTGAGAGCAGGGTGATAGATTTATCCCATACCTATGTTTGATTGTTCTCAGCATCGAATTCATCACGGTTTCCTCTCTCAGATGAGCGAGAGTTCAATTCCTCTGAAAAAAAAAAAAAAGTGCTGGGCAGGTTCTGGTTAATGTGTTAGAGAGGAAGAGAAATTACAGTGAAGTTTCGCATCAAACGCTCCCAGCCCAGTTCAAAGAAAGCAGGCGAGCAGAGAGGAATGCGATCGAGAGGCTGTGTGTACCTTTAAAAGGGACAATATTGGGATCCCTAAACATACATGCCCACACACACAGTAAGCTGCTCCCACATTTACATGTGTTGGCTGCACTGTCCACTTTCCAGAATGTTCTTAGTGAATGAATAAAAACAATGGCAGAGACTCTGCAGTGGCATTTAATGGATAAGTGTCATTATAAGCCTATTAGGTCTTGGGACTGAAGACTCACCTCTGTACAGGACATGGGTAACACTGGTCCTGACAGGGTGGCATACGAGAGAAACAGGGGTGGCTGTTTGAGGCTGGGGTGGTTGTGGGTTAAAAAGAATGGGGGGGAAAAAAAAAAAAAAAAAAACACTCACTGGAGAAATATTTAACCTGACTCAGCTTTAGAGCTGTATCGTAAAATTGAAGTTTTGATTAAAAAAAAGTTTGATGTTTATATGATGCCGATCCACCTGGAAACAAAGCCAGGTAAGTCACAGCTCCCAGATGACCGGATAACCTTAGACAAGGTGAAGAACTGTTATTACTCGATATCCTGCCCTTTTAGAAACCCCCCCCGTTTTTTTCGTTTGTTTAAAAAATGCTTTTTTTTTTTTTTTTTTTACATTTTCACACTGGAACCTCACTTTTTTATTGCAAAGCAAATAAAAAATTAAGTCCTGATGACCTCCTCGGCATAGATTACGTTTGCATGTTTACATTTGTGATGGTAGGACTGGAAATAAGCCTTTTCCCTTGGTATCAGATCTGAAGAATTAACTAGCATGTGTAAAAAGTTTAATGGTGGCTTCAGAATACTAATGCTTGTTTTTGTCTTGTCACCATATCTTGACTCTTGCCTTATTTAATTGGTATGCTCTCTTATTTTTCTCATTTTGAACCGCAGATAACAGAAAGTGGCCTTGGTGTTTCCCTAGGGCCTAGGAAAACAGGAAGTCATTGATTACTAAGTAAATATCCGTAGACGTCATAAAAGTTATTAAATCATGAGGTGATATTTTTGCCCCACTGAGTAAATGTACTGATATGCTTTTTTATATGCTATATTTTATACCACTGCATCCAAAGTTGAATTTAGTTCAAGGCTTTTTACACAAAATGCAATGCAGAGACATTACCAGAAATGCTTTACCATTAGGAATCTCCTTCTCTACTGATTAATTATGTGATGAAAGCAACATGACTTTAGCAATAAAGCATCTCGACATTTCTGCCAAGTATTTTCTTTTGCATCATGTTGTAAAATTATACCTCAAAATAAAACAGAACTTGATCAGGAAGCTGAGCAGACACAAAAAAACATTATGAAATCCAACTCTTACATGCATGATTTAATAATGTTGGGTCAAATGCAAATTCTCACATCAAAGAGTCTGGATACCTCTGAGCCCTCAAACAAAATCTACAAAAAAATTGAGCGATTTAAAAGGGGGAAAAAAAGAAAAATAATCCATTTCTTCCTAACCCAGGGGTAAAATGAGGTCATTTCCTATCTGGGACGACTCACACGCAGACATAAGTACACTACAGTGCACACATACCCTTCTTTGCTATCTTTCACCTTCAGAACAAAGGGGTCCTTGAGTGATCAATCAATTAGCATCTGAGACTCGGGGCCCAGAGAGAGGCTGGTCAGGTTTCATTTACACACAGAGTGATGTGGGGTTCCAGTTCTGGTCTGGCTCACTTTTCCCTCACTGAAGACCATCTATCTGTCTCTGCTTTGGCTTATTTTTACAAAGCTTATTTATTCAGCGCTTGTCCAGAATGAGACAAACAGATACAGGTAGGAAGAAACTGCATTGACGTGTGTATGTGTGTGTGTGATCGTCTTACTTCAGGGAAGCTGCTCATGTTGACCATAATGACTTGAGGGGACTTCATGGAGATCTGACCCAGCTGGTTCAGAGGAAACTTCCCATCTTGAGTCGTCACCACAATGTGATCCAGAGCCCCTAAATAAATACAGACCAGGGGAGGTGTTTCATTTCTTTACTTATCTGCCTCCATGTCGCACAGGTTGCAGCGACGAACACGATATGCGCGTTAAACGCCGTGGCAACTGCATTTCTTCAATATTTGGCAGAATTTTCACACAAAGGACTCTCTTTTGACATTGTTTTAGGCAGTGAAAAAAATAAGACGACTTATCAAATTTGTGAAGTATTTAAACTCGTATGTTTTGCATTATATACCGAGATCAAGTTCTCCTGTTGTTATTGGGCCTCTAATCAATGTGGTGACATGTTCTGGCGTGATGTGACTGCGTTTATGTAGAATTGGAATTAATGAAAACAGAATCAATCATCCGGTTGTTCAGTCTAACAAACAGAAAGACAAAGGAATCCACAGCAGAAGCCACAAATAACACATGTAAAAATTAAGCCCACTGTCAAGCTGTTAAAAATTTCCACAATCTTTTGTCTCCCCTTAACAGTCTCCGGCGACAGAAACAAAAGTTTTGCCAACACAAGCTGACTTCTGCTCCACCCACTTCTCATCCCTTTTTTTTTTCTTTGCTTCCTTGCTCCATCCATCCTTCCCCCTCCTCCATCTGGCTAACCTCAGACGCAGTTGTTTCCTTCTCCTCCACCTCTGCCTTACATCATCTCCTCCCTTCTTTTCCCCCAGGGGGGTGTGCTGGTGCTGTGTGTGGAGAAGTGGGGTGACGGGGAGGTGAGCCAGTGGTGTAATTTTCTCTATAGGATCAATTTATCTTTTGATTTCAAGGACAGAAACAGAGACGCACTAATCAGAGAGTCAATATGAATGAGGAGTATTAAAAATAATAGATGTGATCAAATGTATATTGAATGAGTAACACAACTATATAACATCTTAGTTTGACTTTAAATGTCAGCACTAACGTTTTTTTTTTTTTACCTGAATTTACTCTGTTGAAATGTTGACTACCTACATATTTACAAGTGCTTGAAGATAATATTATTTTTTTAAGTGGGGTTCTGATAAGACAACATGAGCAATCAGTATCTTACCTGTGCTCTCTTAGAGGATTAATTGGCATGAAACAGATTTTAATTGGTCAGAGTGGGCTAAAACAAAAGCCGATTTCTATCTTCCAGTTGAGAAAAAAAAATGGATGTTTTATCTTGAATACCATTCAGTCATCCAAGTACGGGTATTTACAGTTACTCTAATAAATTAAATTCCATGTACGCTCATGACAATTCAGTAGCCTTGAAGTGAAGCATACTGCAATTAATAAGTTTTACTAGTATATCGTTGACAGATATTTTGTTCCAACATGAGTTAATGCCGGACTCTCATGTTTCTAACCATCTGATTTTAAGCATACAACTCAAGTCTTAAAAAAGAAAACATTTTCTTTCAGCTGACTGTTTTCCATGTAGAACAGATCCTATATTGCTAGGCTAACATTAGCCTAGCATGTTTTCATGCGACTTGTAGTCTTCAATCTCAAGCCACCTGAAAAGTTTGTCACCTTTGCCTTTTTCTTTTAAACACCTCCCACACAATTGAGATAATCTACATGTTTTGTATTTGGCTGCACCATAAAAGGTATTTAAAAATGCATTTAAAAGGCCTTGAAATATTACGTTGATGTTTACAGTTTTTTTTTCATGCGAGCACATGTGTAGAAAACTTTCAATATTTGTGCATGCTTTAATTAAAGCATTGTTTTTAAACATGTAAAAACAGGTCTTAGCTTGAACTGCAGTCTGAAGCAAATGTCATTTCGTCATACTTTGCTCCCAAGCAGCCCTTTTTAAAATAATCTTATAAAATGGTTTTCATTAATAGATTGCAGGCTTTCTGAAGATCTTTCAATGCTTTCCTTCAATAATGAGATGCATTTTCTTTTTTACTTTTAGATGCATGTTTATCTAGCTGCTCAAATATGATCTATGAATTATTCAGACATTACAAAGTAATGAAAGAAAGCTTTGGCTTTACATAAGAGACAACTCAGCTTGACTATCTTTCTTTTAAACTTGGAACCAAACAAAACTTTGCTAATACCATCCAGAATAAAAGCAGACATGGACAACAGTGTTTCAAATATCAGAAAATGAAAAAGAATGAATGAATTAACTAGTTTTAGAGGTGATGGAAATGTTGATTTGTAGAGATATAAAACCTCGCTACTCAGTTTCCAGCCTTGCTGACTCCTGCAACAACAATGCGTTTAGGATTTAGTCCCCAAACGAATGACCTATACACTCTTTGTTTACATGAAAACAAATTTAGTTTCCAAGCGGTAAAACCCCATACTTAATCACCACAATATGGTGGACAAGCCACTGGTCTCCCCACGCTCTATGCATCTATCTGTGCGATTTCCTGTTGTACGTCTGACGCACACAAACACATACATACAAGTGCGGATTCATAGCAACACGCAGCAAAAGATGCAATGCTATCCACACAGAGTCTCCCACTTGTAGCTTTAATAAGACCCAGATGACAAACCCACATACAGTTGCATGAGACAAAACTGACGTCATTCAATTCCACCATCTCATCTCTCCTGTCAGAGCCAAGTCATGTTGCCTCCCTGGATTATTGTGCAGCTGGACAGAGGAGGGAGGGACGGACAATCAGAGGAGAGCAGTGACAGACAGACCGGTGGAGGGAGAGGACAGGAAGGATGACAAAGCAAAGGGATTAATCTAAAATAGATGAATAAAAAAAAAACAGAGACAGTAAAGAGAGGAACTGGAAAAGCTAATTGGTAGAGGTGAAATATTTCTGAGAAGTGTATTGGTGTTTCTTAAGCAGCTTCATATACATATGGATGTTCTACTCCCAGGGTTACTCCATAATATTCTTTACAAGAAGCAAGTTTACATGACAACTACAACTAAATTCATCAGGGGTTTATTTAAAATCTTTTGTTTGACTCCATAGATCAAACTCATAATAAATGTATTTGTTTATTACTTTTTACACTTCTCTGTCTTAAATGGAATAAATTAGATCAAGTTAAACAACTTATTTAAATGTCTTTTGTAAATGTGTTGATACTGTGGCATTTCTAGTCAAGGTTATTTTACTGTGCAGTTTGTATAAAGGTCCTTGTAAATAATCTACTGTAATAAATGAAAAGAAGATCTCAACACAGGAGATTCACTCTAAACGACTAAGTGATAAATCAGGGGAGAAAAATAAATAAGGCAAAGCTTGGAGACCGATCATACAAATCAAGGCTCAATTTATACTGTAGCTCCACAGGCTAAATTATCCAACATGTACATATACAGTTATAAATAAAAGTAACTTGAAACCAATCATTTCAAGCAAATCATCTTTACCTTTAACTATCCAAAACTTTTTATAAATCACCCTGCTGTAAACAGTTGAGGTCCGAATTGCTGACACTTTTTTTTTTTTTATTAGTAGACTCTTTGCAAACATCTGTAAACCGGACAAAACTTCTTCCCAAATGATGTTAAAAGAAAATGTGCCTGCAAAGTTTCAACAGCAAGTTTTGTTTTCTTCTTCTTAGTTTCTACTAGCATGATGTTTTCATTTCCTGTCTTAGTGCTATGCACTACACTGTTGACCTCATTCTAAAGACTTAAAAATGTCATAGTAACACGACATTAAAATGTGCTTTATCCGAGTTTATGCTAAGCTTTTATTATTTGAAGTCATTACATACATGGGGAAAAACAGATATGTGCGTAATATCAGGATTTGATACAATCAAATTGTCATTTAGGCCTTTGTTTAATATACAGCTTATTGTTTGGTCTCTGTGCAAAACATTGTGAAAGTTTCTTTGGCTTGGTTTGGAATCCCTGATGGAAAACACAACCAAGAAGGAAGTAATTTTCAGTTTTAAAGACATATTCTGTTGCAGTATCCTTCTATGGCAGCTTCTGTTACACACTCCACTCCCCCCAATTTGTTAGAACCCAGAAACAAAGGGTCACGGCCCGGATGTAGTTTGGGAAACAAAGGCCAAAGCCAGGTCAAACTCATGTCACACATGGATCTCCTCATATTAAGCCCTGTGGGACTTTGTGAGGAAGATGGAAACATAAGACAGACTTCTAACTGAAAGCAAAAAACGAACAATAAGGTTCGATGAATCCACAACGTTACGCAAAAGCAGAATAGATTAGAATAGAGTCACTTAGTCTGTCATTGCTCTTAATGTTATGCTGATTGCTATAGATTTAATTTATCTCATTATCTTTATCTCATTATAAGCCGTTTTCTCTTGCACCTGGAGAAAAAATGAGAGTGAAGCAAACAGGGGACACGTGAGGAGGCCCAAGGGACACAAGCCGACTACCTGGCGAGGTTCGGATGCTGAGGTTACGTGTGAACTCATCTTTGAGTGCATTGAGGACTGCGGTCATGTCCTCCTTCACTTCATCCAGACTGATGATGTCTTCCACCAAAGATGAATTAATATTCACCTTAGCTGACTGGCCCTTTGCCTTGGCTTCGAGGAAGAAAAAGGAGAAAATGAGACTCAAATATAAAGACAAATAACATCCAATCAACAAACTTCCATCTGAGCCAAAGGAAAAGAAGATGTTACACAAATCTGAGCTTCAGTGTCAAGACTCTCTTCACTGACCTTTTGCTTTCTTGGTGGCATAGAGCCTGATGCATGCAGGAGCAGGGTGGAGGGAGGCACCAGGACAAATCGGTGGTATGAAACCGACCCATGATGTGACTGTGAGTGGAGACCTGGCAGGCCGTGCCAGGGACCGACACAGAAAGGGTCGCAGCAGATTCAGGTGATTCAAAGCCATGACTGTAAACAAGCCAAAAATGAAGGGTTTTGATAAAAAGACATGAATGTGACGCACAGATTTTAAAAGTCATGTATAATTTTAAACCATTTGACGGCTGCAATGAACATATTTATTAAAATGAGGTAATAGCCCATGTTAGCCAGCAGGAGGTAGGCCAACATCTTCTTCCAGCTTCCAACAGCATGAAGGGCGCCTCCTCTAATCTAGAAATATATAACTTGATACAACATTAAGCACAGCTATGGAGAGTATTAGTATAAATAGGGGTCTGTTTTGAATTACTTCAAGTAAGGCAAGAAACTGACTAAGATTAAAATTCTACTGATAAAAATCTTACCTAGCAACAGGTGATGTGGACAAAACCTTCATACGCAGCAAAATATGACTCCGGCTATATGCGTAACTTATTCTATGGTAGTTAAAAAAAGAAAACCTTAACTAGAACACTAAAACATAATCCACCCAAACAGATAAACAGTTGGAGAATTATGTTGATTGTTGTGCACTGAGGAACTCCGTTTTTTTGTGCGGTAATAAACATCTCATTACCATCTACTGAAACACCAAAACAAAACTGAAACACGTTATATATTTCCTTACAATTTCTACAAGTTCATATGGTTCAAAGTTGGTTATATGAAACTAAATGTTCATCATCTGTAAATGTTGGCAGGAGGAATTTGGTTGCAACATAACAGAATCCCGATAAATAAAAATGAGAATTAACAGAATAAAAAAATGTTTTAGAAATAAAGTTAGTCACATATTTTTGTTGAAAAGGTCAGTGAACATTTAATAATTATGATGATTTTAATTATCATGATGATGAAGTCTACTTAACAGATTTTTATATTTGAAAGTTAGGCAACATTTTAAATACACTTGGATGCATCACCTTTTGGTTGATGCTTTTATAGACTGAAAATGAAGAAAGTTCCTGTTTTTTTAGTCTATAAAATAACAAAAAATATCATGGATCAGAGCTCATCAAAGCAAATTTAATTTCTGATTATTGGTCAGCTGATTGGTGCAACTCTAGTTTTGTAACTATATATTTGCTGGGCTATAAAAGGGAAAATAAGCCGGTTTACACAAAGCAAAGATGAGCAAAAAAAAAAACAAAACAAAAAAAAAACTACACAATGTAAAGTCTTTTGAATGTCTGAAATGATCAAAAAACCTAAAGCATAGTTAATTACATGTTCTCAATGAGAAGAATGGGAAAACCATACTGTAGATAATCTTGCAAACAGCAGCACGAACAGCAGCTTCAATATATATCCAATTCTGCAACTCCTTCTTGTTTACACTGACAAAACCATGGAGACGTAACGACCCCTACATTCAGCCTCCACTCAGTCATTTTGGGCATTCCTGAACAGAAACATAACAATGTGACTCCATGCTCTGCTCTTCTATAGATGAATCATAGCCCACCTTGCAGCTTGCCTCTTGGCTGTGACCTCTGCCACTGATGTCTTTCTGCACATGCAAACAAAGACCATCTCTGCAATATTTAAGCCCACACAGACACAAGCACAGAGCAAAGCCTGTCTTTCAAAGTCAGTGAATGTACAGGGCTTGCAGTACGCTGGTCCCTGACTGGCATCTTATTTTGTCTGGGGAGAATTCACAGCTTTTATCTCTGAAGAGGAAAATACCATCAGTTCTGCACTGAAGTAGTTCAGCCAAAGAGAACTTTACTCAGTTGCTACTGGAGTATATTTCACCAACATATTCTTCCAAACAAAATAATAATAATAATAAAAAAAAAACATAACAGTAAATGATTGAAAGTCAAATATTACAAAGTTAATCACGTTATGTATAATAATTCTGCTCTTTTTCAATTGAAGCCTAGTATGCAGATCAGATTAAAATGTGAATAGTTCTTCAAAAGTGTTTCATTGTTGTGAAATTTATGTGTGCTTTCACATCATAAAATTATAAAAATCATAGCAAAAGTATTTTTTTTATTATTACTACAAAATCCCAGATACAATCCCGATGTTTCCTCAGTCTCTAGTCTTTGCTGTCAATTCAAGAAACTTTCTATTTAGTCTAAACTTTGGACCACCACTCCTGAAATAAATCTGCAACAGGCAGCTGAAAATTGGGGGGAGGGGGACTTCCTGACAAGCCGACATGATTCGCCACACAGTGGCAGAGCTGACGGATGGGGATGTGGGAAGGTGACAGATCTCTTTACAAAATAAGTCAAGCGAACAAAGTGAAGCCCAGGTGTTCAATGGGACACTGTAGTCTGGTATCCTGCAGGTTTCACAACCAGCTGCAGCCACACCCCTGTTTCTTCATCCAGCAGCGGGGAGCCAGCTGGTCAGCCCACATGCCCTCACTGTTTGCTTTAGAAAGGAACACTGAAGAGTATCTGATAATGTTCTGCATCATTCTACCTCCTAAAACAAATTTTCCAGAGGGAGGGGAGAAAAGAAGTCAAAAAAGTACCAGAGGAGAGTTTTAATAAAAGGGACATCCTGTTATTCCCCCCCCCCCCCCCTTGGGAAGTCCAAAATATAAGCGTGAATTGTTTTATTGTTGTTTTTTTTTAAATAACAAAACTAATCAGAATTTTGACTTTTTTTTCTTTACATTTAGAAATAACTTAAAATTAAGAACACTGTTGGATTTTACAAAGTCTAATCTGTATTTTTAAGTATTAAAAATATACTTTGTATTCAGCTCCTTTTAATCTGATTTGCCAATGTTTAGCTTCTTTTATTGATACGCTTTTTATAAGAGGACAATATTTACTAAATCAGTGATCCAGGCTCCATTGATACTACAACACTGAAAGCCTGTAGGCAAAAAAATAAAAAGAATGGAAAGTTAAAAATGTACAATGAATTAAAGCATCGATATTTCCAGTGTTTTTACTAAAAAAACAACTGCAGACATGTACAGAATTGGTTGTCGTTTATTTAGATTGATACAAACAGGCATAATCATCAACCATGTACACACACGCACACGCATACACAGACCTAATGTCGCAATTTTGTAATAACCAGTTAACCCAACTCATGTTTTGGACTTGGGGATGAATCCACTCTTATGTATTGAGTTTTTAAACATATTTTCAGATGCAAATAAGTCTTAAAACCACCTGGCCAAGTGCTTAATAAAACTCCCCATGCAGCAGACCAATTATGACCCTGCAATCCCTCTGCTAGAGTGGTTCTACTTCAATATACGTGCACAAGATCCTTGTGGTGAACCAGTGGATGGCAAGGCTTCTTTACAACACACTGCTTTTACAATTAATTATTAGTCCTGAAAATGCAACCAGGTCGTAAGCTTTTTAGACTTGAGTAATAAACACACCGCCATTAAATAATATTCTTCATACAGACATGTTGTATTTTTTACGAATTGTCAACTAAAGCCATGTGAAGGTCGGGGTAATGAGAATAAATATATCAACATAAATATAGCAACGTGACTAAGTTCTTCAACAAATATGTAGTGTTAACTGCGGCAAAAAGGCAACACAGCTTTAAATTATACAAAAGTCTTCCTTACTTACCTATTCTGCACCAGTCTTTACAGGAGAAACATGTTAGCTAAAGAGAGAAGCGCCACAGTTGACAAGTTCGTCATCAACAAGAGGCGCTATCGCAGATAAGTGTGCTCGAGACATTCTATGGGTCGCACCGAGCGGGCGGAGTTACACATTGATAATGTTGGACGTTATCGAGCACATACGGCATACGGAAGATACCAGTTACTAAACCAACTGCCTCCACGGACTTGTCTGGCAGCTAAAAAATCTACGCCATCACCCCGCGCCTTTGTTGTCAGCCTGGATCAGAGCGGATGTGTTTTCTCTCGGAGCTAACAAACTCAGTCAGTTATTTAGGTGGACAATTGAGGTCTGAGATGATTGCAGTGACGTTTTGACGCCACTGCATCATCCCAAAAGTGGGATTAGAGTGAACATTAAATCGTAGGACTTGTTGTTGAAGAGGAACAAACAAAGGTAATGTCAGAGCAGCTAGAAGCTACGTCCCACTTCTCTTTTGAAACGTGGCTTTTACTCTCAGATAAAGTTATTCTTAGTAAAACGTAGCACGTTTAGTATTATGCTTTATAATATGTGTAATTATTAACTACTGGTAATAAATAGTTCATTCTTGCTGAGTTAGTTAAGATCATGTTAAAAACAAAATTACTTATTTGTTGTGAATATTGCGTTCTCTAAAAGGAAATGAGTTTTTACGTGGCAACAAATGTTTTAAAAGGTACAACTCAGTTCAGCAGCAGTAAATCAATATGAAAGAAAATATACACTTACTTTTATATTTTTAAAATATGAAATTAAACATTGCTTCTCCATTTGTTTTCTAGATAGACATTAGTCGATACGCATCTGTTTTGCAACAAATGACAGAACAGAGGAAGTATTACGTTGGAGATCGTTATTAGCTGTAAATTGCCAATTGTTTTAACCAATTCATGCCTGTGTAAATAAAAATAAAAATGGTCAAAGTCACGTTTATTTCCGCAGCACATTAAAAATAGTAAAAGTTGATTAAAGTTCTCCACAATTTAGCCAAACAAACAGCAAAAATAAATGGAGAACACAACAAGCAAAACACACATAAAAAAAAAAATTAAAATAATAATAATAAAAAAAATACAATGGGGCTAGATAATTTAAAATCTAGTATTATTGTTTAATATTTGAGTTGTCTTTTTGTTTGCAGCTTAACCTACCAACTTCAGTTTTTATCATGATGACATACACATTCATCTGAGTTCAATTTGCTTTAATTCTGCAATTAAGTTTAACAAACACTGAAAACGTTTTGAACCCAACAGAAAAATAAGGAGCTTTAAAATGGTTCCAGTTATAAATAATAATAATAAAAAAAATCCTTAATCTTTATCTGACTATTACTAAATTCACAAAAATGGAAAGAATGAATGCATTGTTTTTGGTGTGTTTTTTGCTTGGAAAACAGTTGGAGATTTCAGTACATTTTATTAACAGGATCAAATTTTGATCTTTCCATATTGTAAAAGTCACTGTTCATCATCAAAAAACTCCATATTTATAACAGTTTCGGTTTGTTCACACATTCATTTTTTCATTTGCATTTTCACATCAATAAAGATGTAAGTTCTTTATGGTTTTCTTTTTTGTCTTCTTTCATTTAGTTTGGTTATCAAATCAATATTTGCCAATGATCATTCAGCGCTTTATAAAGCTGATGTAAATTCTCAGTGGTTAAATATTTTTGCAGTTTTCCCATGAGCTTCCCTTGGCAGGTATTATTATTCAACGATAATATTGCAATATTCATATTTCTTAATATCATACATCGCTAATTGAAATTGTGGATACTTGTTTTATCAAATTAAAGCATTGTTTGTTTTTTTACACAGTTTTCTAATTTTGAACAAGAAACTTCTTTATTGAAAGTTTACAGTTTTAAACTTTCAATAAAGAAAACTTAAATCTTATTTCTGCTATTATGATTAGAAGACAGTACATTCCCATTAATTTGATATATCATCTAGGTTTTACCAGATCCTAGAGTTTAAAAGTAAAATCTCACACAGTAGATTCCACAATAGCATTATTAATGAAACTGAAATTAAACCAACTATACAAGTTTGTGAAAAACTAAATCCAGACCAAAAACCCTGGACGTAGGAGGCCCTGTACATTCTCTTCTCCATATTGTAAAGCCATGTGTATATGTGAGCTCAAAACGTTATTAAAAGTGTTTGGTGACATTGTTTTAATCTAATTTCCACAGGGTACACATGTCGTCTGCAGCAGAGACTGTGGAAAATGCCTCCATTATTGCAGAGAGTGCGTCTCATGATGGAAACCGCCTGTGGATTGGCAACATTGATCCCAAAATCACAGAGTAAGTAAATCCACTCCAGTTTCAGCTGGGCATTTCTTTTATGTATGTGCAGAAAAGCTCTCAGCCTGCTTCTTTTACCCGTCAATTACTACATAGCGCTAAAGGTGTCAGCTTTACTCATCTTTATAGAAATAAATCCCTGACAAAAAGGTGTTAAAATGCAGAATAAAGTTTTATTACAAGGTGGTGTAATAAATATGCTTCATGCAGTTTTTAAAAAGTGATGCCATAATAGAGTTTACTGTATGAACCTAAGGGTTTAGTTTTAACATGTATGGCTATGCCACATAGGAGGCAACATATTGTGGTTACATGTATGATTAATCAACTGTGTATGTTGTGTGTGTGAGCTGGTTTGTGTGTGTGCGTGTGTGGGTCTGTGTCATGGGCTGAGACAGAGCAGACGAGCCTGAGTGTGTGAAGGAGATGCAGTGAGGCGCGGAGACCTGCTCTGCTAAGGAGCAGCCATCATTCCTCACTCACCTGCCCTGTTTACTCTCTCTGTGTCAACCCAAAGGTGTGTGTGTGTTTGTATCTGTGTGTGAGGGTGTTAAAATCCACACCAGACGTTTGAGTGGCAGCTTGTAGGGGTGCAAGCTTCAACACATACAAGAGTCTGAACATCATTAACTCACTTTGTCTCACTCGCTTGCGTGCATCTTCTCCTGCCGCAGATAGTCTGATTAATAAAAATATTCAGAAAACATTTTTAGGTTGAGGGGTGCGTTGCGAAGCCTGTCGTGGGGCAGTGGGGGTGCTGCTGGGGAATGTACGGGCCCAGGTCCTGGTGGGCGTCTAGACAGGCGTTTCCTTCCCCTTACCGTGCTCTGCTCTGCTTCTCCTTCTCTTTAAATAGTCCAGTGGTTCAGCGTAGGGAGGGAAAACAAGAGAAATGCACTTGGCCCCTGTTACTGATTGGGAAGATTAATTAACTCCAGGATAAAACATGCAGGACTCTCTCTGCTTGTCCTGCGAAACCAACTCGGTGCAGAGGGGAGACCAGGAGCTGAACGCGCCGCGCTGCTTTGACACGTTTCAGTGAATAAGATTAGTTTGTTGTTTATTTCGGCTAATTAACTAACCAACAATGTTTTCTTCAAGACCGTGTAAAAACGTAAAATCTGCGCGGAGACGTACTTAACTCGTATTGTAGAGTAAGTGACTTATATTTTTAGGATGTCGTTTTTTTTACTTTGTATTTGTTTGCGTAAATATTTAACAAATTCAAGCCACCTTAATTTTGTAATCTTTTTGCACTTTGTCACATAACAAACACACTTTGATTTATTTGATGAGAATTTCTGTGATACACAAAAAGAGTTGTGTAATTATAACATGAAAGGAAATGATAGCTGATAAAGTGCAGCCCAACCATATTTGCAGATTCTACAAAGTATTGACTAATGGGGCTGAATACATACATATGCCACACTTTTCGAATGTTTTTCTGGATGGGTATTGTTTCCTGCATCTCACCCAATAACTGCTGCAGATAGTTCTCCAGCCCTCTGTGGATAAGTGGATAAAAACAGTAACCACTAATAAATGCATCAAAGTTTGGTTTTTAGCATCACCGAAGATGTTCAAGTTAGAGGAATATTTGTGCAAAGTTATTTTCTGCTGTGGTTGTTCTGAGCAAAGTATTGGATAATAAAGGATGCGACGATGAAGAAAGTACAGTGGCCGACAGGTGCAAATGCGCAGCAACAGAGAAAACATGCAAACAAAAAAAGAGACGCAAACAAAAGTGCCTCCTGCTTTGCTCGACCAAAATAGCAGAAGATGCTTCAGCACTGCGGGATATTGAATAAATAAATAAATTACTTAAGTGAACCAAAAATATTTACAGCTATTACCAGACTTAATATCTGTGTTTCACCTCCACTCATAGGGGAAAACTAGTAGGAGTTTTTAAAACGATTTGCCGGGAGACAGGCGTTCTCTCTCGGTGTACCGAACCTGGAGCGCCCGGCCAGCTGACAGCAGGCGAGGGGAGCTGGCTGTTAATGCAGCGGGAGCAGATCTCCAAAAAAAGTCGGAGCAATATTGTAATTAAGTGATTTATTGATGAACTGAGCAAATATTTCAGATCTATACATCTACATTCTCGCCTAAAAACTTTGTAAAAAATCATTTTGTGTAATTTTAGGTGTAATACAGCAAAAATAATTTTGCCGCCATTGCTGCTTTTCTGAACACCCGTTTTAAAGGATGCAGGCCCTAAATTTGGACACAGCTGTTTCTGTTCGACTCCCTCTAGTGGTCTGGAGCACTTCCGTTTTCAGCACTCTTTGTTTGCATCTTTTCTTTGCTGCATTTCATTTGTGGTTGTAGTTTTTTTTTGTTTGCGCCTCTTTTTTTGTTTGCTGCATTTCATTTGTTTGCGTCTCTTTTTTTGTTTGCATGTTTTCTCTGTTGCTGCGTATTTGCACCTGTCGGCCACCGTAAGAAAGCAGCACATCAACTCAATCCATTGTGTTTCCTATGTAGCTGTGCGTAAAGAGACAAACACTCCACTTTTTCTTGCTCACTATTGGAGGCCTGAGGCAAAGCAGGTGTTACTGAAACTTTCAACACACATTTGTGTTTTTGTGCTTTTGCCTGCTCTGCGGTAATCCATCACAGTCTTCCTCTTTGTTCCCTCTCTGGACCTCGTGTTACATGCAGTGTCGTGGGCCTGGCGTTTGTCATGTGTTTTTATTAGCGAACTTGGACGATAACCACCAGCAATGACTCATTTCTCCACCGTAGGCTGAAGAAACTGCAGAAATCCTAAACTTAAAGCCTATTTTTCCTCCTAACTTGCACTTATCCCACTTAAAGCCTGTTGTTATCTTTCTCTAGACTCGACTTCTGTGACCTTCTCTTCCTTCCTTCCTCTCGTATCTGTCTCACCTGGTTTCTAATCTCCTCTTTTCCTCAGCTTCATCTTCCTTCTCCCACACCTTTCACCTTGCTGTCAACATCCCCTCTCTGAACTTTACTCTCCCTTTGCCCACCTCTCCCTCCCTTTTCCTCCCCTCTTTCCCACCTCCCTCCCCCTCTTCCTCTGGTGGGTTTATAGCCCCCAGGAGGCGTAACCCATTGTAGTTCAGCTCACTGTAGCATCCCAAAAAATGTTCTTGGAGCTTAATCTGTTCTAAAAATAAACATATAAAGTAGGATATGGCTAAGTAGAATGATTATGCAACATTTGATGAATTGCAAATTAAATTGCTGCTTTTTGGTTGCTGGAAACGGCTGTCTTAAAATGTGTCAAATCGAAGGAAGGCCTTGTTGTTGGTCAACATCGAAGCTAATTGTTGCATTAGAACAAGGTTAGAAATCAGACCCATTTTTAGCTCTGATTTTTCTTTGTACATTTATGCAGTGCATGATGAGCCACCTCCAGGTGGGAGACCTTTAGGGTGTTGTCTGGGAAAATCAGAACTTCTCTATTGCCTGCGGCCCACCAGGGACTCATAGAGAGAGAGAGAGGTGGAAGACATTAGTGCAACCTGTTGCTCAACCACCCTGCCCAGATTCAACCTCAGCATCCAGCGCCGAGTCCATTTCCAACACACACAGTGCACGCTTGCACGGTCACGTCACAGAGTCATTTTTGTGGTTTCTCACACACACACTAACGCGAAGCCACTTACGGACTTAAAAATAACAACTGCCTAAACAATAAAAGACTGCAGCTTTAAGCCCCTCTGAACAGTTACACAAAGCACCTGGGGGTCACTCTCGGGCCTGAACAGTTACACTCAGAAACGCCAACAAAAACACAGGAAGGTCTTCAGTGACGGTTTTTGTTGATTTATTTTCAACGTGAGTTTATTTTTTGTGTTTTGTAAGGCATTTATAAAAGATCATTAAACGGCACTGTTTCGTTTTGTTCAAGAATTTTGCAGTCATTAACGGTTGGGTGAGTCCATCAGATTAATTACAGAGGAAAATGTAAACAGATCAAAACTTTTTCTATTGTTTTGGTGGAACATACAAACTGTAAAAGGTGAGATACGACTAAAGACGACCTTAGTACAGTGAGGAGCAGAGACAGTGTTGTAAGAGAGCCAGTAGTAGTAGTGTGTCTTTACTATCTTCCAGTGAGGTTTGATATTAAGAAAATAGCAATATGTGCTAGCATTGCTTTAACCTTTTCTCACAGCTAAAGTGTGCCTTTTTTCCTAGATTCAGTGCTTTTCGTAGTAGTCATAATGTGATTAATGTGGAGAATATTCACCGAGTTGTTCATAGCAACAACTATGATAATTTTCCCAGCAGGTAGTTTTAGTTGTTTCATCATTAGGACTCTGCATGGACCAAGTGCTTGTATGATTTGTCCTTAAAGATGTTGCTTGGACCAGTGGCTTGATAGTTTGCAAACAGGTTTGCAGTTTGCAGAATAGTGTTCAGAAACTGGGTTCTTCTTCAGCTTACAGGCTCTTTCCATCTGATCAGTAACATTAAATTATTCTTAATTCAAAATGGGGATAAGCAGCACTTAAGTTCAGAAAGGATCAGCAACAGCAGGGCTTTAACCATTCAAAGTGCCTTCATGTCTTCTGAAATCTGAGGTCTTTATGCTCCTCTGTAACCTTTAATCAAGGAACATTAGGAAAGTAAAACATGAATTTTAGGTTTGAAATTGTTTTATAAAAGAATAATCAAAGCCTCAATCATAATTTGGCACCATAGCGATTCCTCTACAATGAACGTATGCATACGCTGAACTGGAACAGCATAATAAATCCCAAATACATTTTAATCACAATTTTGTTGTGTGAATTATTGTGATTGTTGTGGAATGCAGTATTTTCTGAGGGTGTCAAGATTTCACTCTTTGCTTACCAATAATACATTCCAGCTGTTAGATTGAGTCTGACTGCAGACTCAGTCTCACAGTACTTAAGATGCTGAAGATCACAAGAAGAGCTGGAAGGATTGTAATAACACATGAGAAAAGGAGGAGTGGAGTAAATGTGGGTTTATTGGACATTATGTTGTTTTTGCATGATTTTCCAGTATGTATGCACTTCCTGGTTTTTAGTAAATAGAAATAATTGTTATAATCCTAACAAGCGTAACTTGGTTGCTTTAGTGCCAACTCACTATCTTCTGGCTGCTTCCAGAATAAATAAATAAATTAGTTCTTTGAGTGACCCTGAACTTGAAACTCTTCTGTGCTGTTGGAGAAACAATTTATTCCCATGACTGCTAATGGTCATAACACACACACACATACACACATGCACTCGCACACGCTGCATATCTCTTCAATGACCGCACATCTGTCGTCATCCTCGGTCCAGCGGTGCCCTGCAGCTTCTACGTCGTCATTGGAGGTTGTTTGTGCCGAACTCCAGGGCTCAGGGGGGATTTGAGACTTCCTCTGTTTTATTCCCTCATTGTCCTGCTACTGTATCCTCAGCATTGTCTCAATAAGAGATTTACTGTTAGTGGCTGGCCACACCAGCTGGCCTGCTGCTAAAAAGGTGTCAAGGAGAGAAAGCTGTCATTCTCATTAGCCCGGCCTGACATATTCACACAACCGGTGGCAAAACGATTGAATGATTTGGAGCCTGTTTTCTTGTTCTTTTTTTTTTTATTTTTTTTATTTGTAATCATATAATAACATATAATAAAAAGTTGTTGTCACTTTTCTTAAATAATGTCCCAAGTCATTTTTTCACCAAAAGTGATTTTTTTTCTTTTTCTAAATCAATTTGGCCATTATTTTAGGAAGGTGATTATATCTAGCAGGTTTAGTTTCTGATTCTTCATAAAGGTTTAATGCTTTTAGATGAAGTTTAAAAACATTGTTGGTTAATAATCCTGGGGAATGCATTTTGTAAAATTGTTCTGGCCACTTAAAATGTTTTGCTGTGTTTTGAGCTTTATTTGGTTGTTTTTCCAAAAAATTCTAATTAATTCAGTATGTGCAAACAGGTGTTTAAACTTGTTTCATGACTTAATGTATATATTTTTTGACTACCCTTGTTTTGTTTGCCTTTTTTTTCTCATTCTCCTGACAGGTATCACCTGGTGAAGCTTTTGGAGAAGTTTGGCAAAGTTAAACAGTTTGACTTCCTGTTTCATAAGTCCGGGCCTTTGGAGGGGCAGCCGCGTGGCTACTGCTTTGTCAATTTCAGCACCAGAGAGGTAAACAAAGCAGACATGCGTCCTTTTTTTTTTTTTTTTCTTCGTTTTTATGCGATTTGTTGAAAATATTCTGCACAGGTAATTTGGGTTTGTGGAGGTAAGGTGTATTAAAACCTGTTTTTCGTAGTCAAAGAACCCATTTTAATGTTTGTGCTCACATTCAGAGGGGAGCAAAAGGAGAAAAGTCTTTTCATATAGACTCTCACAGATGGAGTCTGTATATTTTATCAGAGAAGGGCCATTCATTTGGTGTAAAATTAAAAGTGAAATTGTTCAATAAACTTCACGAGAAGACAGGAACTCACCGTTTGTTTTCATTGAAGTGGACCGTGTTTCTAAGGAAAAAAGAAATAAAATAAAAGGATTTAAAAAGACTGCGGTCAACTTCACAGGTTTTGTCGGGCTGTATTTGTTTTGGAGTGTGCCTGGGGATCATGATAAGCATCTCGTTTCACAGCTAGTGTCTATCAGTGGGATATGAAGCCCTCCCAACAGGATTATACAGAGGAAGTGGCTGTTTATCTTACACACTCGTACTCACTCGCTTGTAGACACGGTCAGATAAAGAACTTCAGGAATATAATTTTACATAAAAGCCGCTCGCACGTTTGATGAGACGAAGCTAGAACGTGCTACGCATAATTTACCTTCGGCCCTTTGTAAGCAGATTGTCTCTTTGCCATCTATCATCATTTATCTAATGATTTAATGGTGTGGATTTAATTACGCACTGATTTCAGTGATCGTTTTGAACAGTCTGTTGTTCCCTCTTTCCTATTCCTCTTTCCTCTTCTTTGTGTTGCCTACAGGAGGCAGAGAGGGCGATCCAGTGTTTAAATGGAAAACTAGCTTTGTCCAAGAAGCTGGTTGTGCGATGGGCGCACGCTCAGGTGAGGGTAAGTGTCACGCTGAATTGTAACAGTTTATTAAAGGTTAAAGGTTAAACCTTTAACCTGTGCTGTTTGTGTGGCATAAAATCAATGATATTGTTGAGGTAAATTAAAATATAAGATTTAAAAAACAACATTTATTTAGTAGTTTCCATTCTATAATCTTTTATATGCAGTTTACAGAGAGCAGCAAGAGCCCTGCACAAACCTAGGGCTGTCTAACAATAGGCAGCTGACTGACGAAGGGTGAAGGGATATCCTGCACAGAGACGAATCCCGCCCTTCACACACATACGCACATAGACATGACAGAGGGAGGTGAAGGTCAATGCTGCAACCTCTTTGACAACAGGCTGTTAAATAAATCTGGAGCTGGACTGAAGTTTCTTATTGGATTAGAAATGAAAGCTATGTGCATTGACATTCTCACAGATATCAAGAATTAATGTATCGCTGTATTTTTAACTATAATTTGAAATTGAGTTTGAGCTGTCAGGACCCTCCTCTATGTTGTTTTGCTGAACTTTCTCCATATAATGCAGCAGGATCGTTACATGCTTTATTACAAATACTATGTGAGGGTTAACATTTTTGTGTAATTGTTTACACTCTTGCAGTCAAATTATCTACATTTCCCAGACCTTTTATGAGGTTAGCTACAATCGCTGCAGATCCCACACATACTGGACACAAACTTTTATCTTTAGGTCAGCGCTACAGAGCACTATTTACAAAATCTAGCAAACTCTGGTGAGCACCACGTAGCTAGGCAGCTGTAAAACAAGACAAGTATATTTGCTCTATTTTTAAGAAAAAAATATTAGGTGAACATATAAATATATATCTGTACATACGGTCTTCTAATCTTTATGTATTCATATTTAATGTCTGTATGCTCAGAGCATGTGACACCAATGCCAAATGCAGATACACCTGGCAATTAAATTTCATTCTGATTCTGAAAAACATTTGTTTTTTTTTATTAGTGCATCCATCCATCCACCCTGCAGAAATATATGCCATAATTTCTATGCCAAGCTTTGTTATGTATATATATATCCTATGTAAATATCCTAAACCAGAAGCAGAGTCTGGAAAAGATTGTGTGGGAACCGTACTCTTGCTAACTCTAAGCCATGTTCTGTGTGAAGCACTTCAAGTTGATTTGACAGTTGTTTCCCCCAGGAAGAATTTAGCAGATTCTGTTTCCTTATCGCATCTCAGATGATGGTTTCGGCTTGATTCAAGATGGCCTCCTTCACTTCTACCCTAATGATAGTGTTTGACCAAATCTGAAACCAGTCAAGAGCTCAGAGTCGCTCGGACTCTCCTTTGGTGGAGATGATTCTAGGGCATTTCTTCTTCTTCTTCTTCTTAGAGTTTAAGCCCTGGAGCTGCCAAAAGATGTCAAATAAGTGACTCATTGGCTGCATGTATTGAAAATACTTATAAACCAGCCTGAAATACAAAGATCCAAGTAAATGTCCTGAGGTTTAACAAACACCTTTGCAATTTTGAAAATAATTTTAATTAAACAGAAGTCAAAATCTAATTTATTTTACCTTAAAAAATAATTACATTTTATCTGTATACGGAGTTATTGTGTAGTAATTTTGTGAAGTTTAAGTAAATGTTTGCAGTAAAATGCAACATATGTTTGGGTTTCTTCTGCATACACATTGGATTACATGTAATGTATTCATTTAGTAAAACTGCATTATTCTATCAGGTTTGGCATACAGGAAATTCTAAATGTATTTTACCAAACAGCAGATCAGAGTGTTCAGCTTCATGTGAAAATATCCTAAATCAAGGCTTGATTTCATTGGAATTTATAACTATTATTTTAAATTCTGAAATATTAGGTGAATATATAAATACTTATCTATACATAGTGTTCTTTCAACACTAAAAAAGCCTTTTAAAAAACCCCATTTCTGAGTCATAATATAGAGTAACCGTTAAAAGGACCCTGCAATGCAGAGATTAAACTGACCCACCTGAAACTTTTTTTTTTTTTTTTTTTCTGAGCTCTCCTGGATTGTTTACAGATTATTCCAGCCTCGTTGGCTCTGTGCAGATCTCCTGGCATTCCGGCCTGGAGGAATAGGTGGAAGGGAAGGGTTTTTGGCTGGGGGAAACGTCATTGTTTCGCACTCTATGCATCGCTTATGTCACTCTATAGTATGCAATAACAGCTGTTTTAATTCCACCACCATAGCTTGAGAACAAGGTCTATAAAAGTATGTGTTTATTAACGGAGACTCTTACAGGAAGCAACAGAAATAACCTGTCATGTGATCATCATCCTTTGTTTTGTTTGTGTTTTTTTTTCTCTCTCTCTCTGCAGGTTTCATGGTGATTTGGAAGGTGGTTTTGAGAGGAATGAGTGCAGATGTTTGTTGTTGCTCATCAGATGGTCCAGCATTGTCCTCACTCATCTCTTAGGGTGTGACTGAGCTGGACGCAGCGCACCGATTGGTTAATATTTGCTTGACTGGACGAGGAAAAAGTTCTGAAAATTTTTTTCGTCGATCGTACATGTGGAACCGAGTCCGTCAGTGTTCAATTTCCGGATGACTGCTGTCGTGTTTACTTTGCCCTGATTGCTACTAATAGAAATCTTTCTTCCTCTTCTGCTTATTCAACAGAAAATATTTAATCTTATGCTGACAGCTTTATGTTTTATTATCCAAAATTTGTGACTGTCCTCATGTCTGTTTCTTGCTTCTTGTTTTTTTTTTTTTTTTCACCCCCCATCTGTTTGTCCCTTGCCATCTTTTTTTTCTTTTTTCTCGCCACTTATTCTTCACAGAGGTTTGAAGGTTTTCGCAATGAGAAGACGATGCCTGCAAGCCTGGAACCGTCATGCAGCGGTTCAACAGAGGCAGGCTCTATTACAACAAGCAACCTCAGGTTGGTATCCTGTTTCATTTTGCAAGTCTGGATCAGATGGAAAAAGACAATTCGGTTTGAAAAAAAAAAATGCTCCAGACTTTTCCCTTCACAGTTGGGAGGATGTTCTCAAGCAAGCTCTTCTCTGCTTTTCCTCCAAATGCAACAATTATCAGACCACTTGTCATGTCCTATAAAATTAGAGCCTTTGTTGTTTGCAGAACTATAATCTGTTTTTTTTTTTTAATGGTGCTTTTGAAGTTATGGCTTCTTCTTGCTGAATGGCCTTACAGTACAATATGGTACATGTGTTTTTTTGGTTACTTGTTTTTTTATTTTAATTTATTTTTTACTGTGGATAATGAGATGCTTTTAACAGATTCAGGAAGCATCTTCACAAGGTCTTTTCGCTTTAGTCTTCGGTTGATATTCACATTTTGCACCGAAAACATCTGAGGCACAGATCTAGTGTTTTTTCCTGAGCAGCAATAATGGCTGTGCATCCTCATGGTGTTATTACTTGGATGTAATTGTTTGAACAGATGAGTGTGCCACCTTCAGGGTTCAGGAAATTGTATCTAAAGATGAATCAGCCTTGTGAAGGTTCACTTTTCACTTCCTAAAATCTTGCCAGATTTCTTTCTTTTTTTTTTTTTTTTTTACCATTTTACACAAGGCATTGAGTTTGAGGTGTTGCCTTAAAGACATCAACATATGTGCTGCTGCTTAACTTGAATGCTTAGAAAGCCATGACATCACAACTTAGTATTTCCTAAATAGTCAAAACAGAAATAAAAAAATCTTCTGAACGTGAACAAAGTCATGAAGAAATATTCTAGGATAGTTAAATTTTTCTGGTGTTTAGCAAATAAAAACAAATGGTGACCCTAAAACGGGAAGCTTTTAGTCTTTTCATAAATTGTATGCATTTCATTTCAATACCTAACTAAACCATGTACAAAAATGTAAGAACTGCATTTTTTTCATAGTTTTATGGTGTTTCTCAAACTTGGTCTGGTTTCTGGTGTCACTCCCCTCCCCCTTTGTTCTCCTTTTAGGATACTTCTCCTACCCTTACCCATCCGTCGTCTACTCTCTTTAAAACTGATATTGCCTCCATTTTTTTCCTCCTTCTCCTCCCTCAGTTCTGCGTCTCCTCTCAACCTCACTGCCAACATCTTCTCTCTGACTTTTTTTTTTTTTTTCCTCCTCCCTCTCCAGCACGAGCGCTAAGATACGTGCCATTGAGGCCAAGCTCCAGATGATGGAGGAGAATCCAGATGATAGCTACTCGGGCCCGTCGGCCTATGTTTACAACAAACCGCCTGAGAGGAAGCGCTGGGAGCCCTACTCTAAATCGCACCACAGTAACCAGAGCAGGCCCTTCCGCAAGTTTAGGAGATGACCCATCCTCCTGCCTGCTCTGAAGCCCCCTCCTCCTCTCCTCCTCCATGTTCTGTTCCTAATTCCCCCCCCTCCCCACCACCATCGCTCTCACAGACTCGTAAATTTGAGAAGATTTTGAAGCGGCAGCAGATGAACAGCACCAGGACTGTGGATGATGTGTTTGTTTTTACTGCTGTGCCAGCGATCTGACTGGCTCATCTATTAAACTGCTCTGTCACTCGTGCGCATTTCTGATGCAGCTCACGTCTTCTACACACATCTAGTCTTTGGTTTAACACGTTTCCTTGTTTTCATTTCATGTTATTTAATTATTAAAACGTTTTGGATTTGTGTTGGAGTTCTATTTTTTTTCCACAATCTTTCATTTGTTCAGGTAGACTGAAGGAAAAAAAAAAAAAAAAAAAAAAGTACAAGCTCCTCGTGGGTCTTTGTTTTTGTTTGCTCTTTTCGTTTTGGAGACCAGAAGTCTCCGCAACTGTAACCACTGAAGAAAGCCCAGCCCAGATGTGTTGGATTGTCATTTTTTGGGTTAGGAGGTGGGACATATTCTCTCAATGACTTCCCGTCTGCTACATCCGTTGGCTCAACAAGTTGGATTAGAAGTCAAAGGAAGTGCGGTGCCCACAGCCCTCTGATGCATCTCAACCATCTACCTTCGCGCAGGCTCCTGTCCTTATGCTAGAGAAGTTTAGAACATGTTTTCATGAAGTAATAAGCAAAATAGAAGCAGGATGTAAGATTTGTTTCAAAATGGACATTGGGGACTAAAACCGTCTCATGAGGCTTTAAAAAAAAAAAGGGTTTCAATACCCAAGATGCTATATCACGTTTTCATTAATAGTCAGAATTGAGGATACGAAAAAATAAAGAAGTTGGTTTGAAACAAGACTGAAGAGATAATATATTCAGCTTCCTAAAAGATTTGTTTACAGTTTAGGTTTGCCATATACTAGAACTGATTGGGTTAATGCTTCTTTTTAGGCTACATAAATGACTAGCAGTAATTACCATGCCCTACTATTATAAACGTCTATCCTTGTTTTTCCCAACTGAATTACTTGAGGTGTTTTTTTTTTTTTTTTGTAGTGGCTGCATGAACCCTTACAACTCAACTTTATTTTTGCATTAGGAAAATTAAGAAAGTGGGACTTGCAATAATTTCTATCAACTATCTTTGGGTGAAAAACTTTGCTTATTGGCTGTTTCAGCGTTGGAGTATTTTGTGAATGTGTGCTTCCGTCTTTACGTTTAGGTGATTTCAGTGAACATTAATATTGTTTTAATGTCGAAGATAAAATCATATTTCATTTTTATTTTTTTCCTTTTTGCTTTTATCTTAAAAACGTAGCGTTAGAGAGTAAGCTGGTTCTCGGACAGTAAGCCTCGTATTTTAACCAGCTAAAATGCACCAGAAAATCACCGGTATTCTTGTAGGGACAGATGACAGCTGGCCAATGGCGCTTCAAGAATCAAAATCATATTTACGTCAACCAGACACTTGATGAATTTATTTATGTATTATGTGGAAAGCTACTGTTGGGTTCAGATGCATTTGGTGATTATCATTTTCACAATTCTTCAAGAAAACGCGCAACGTTGAGCTGCATAAAAACGGATATATTTTGTTTATATAAGTGATCATCCAAGACATAATTTACAGACACTTCTTGGGGATTGTATAAAATCAATGATTCGATTAAATTTCGATAGATAACTCGTTATTTTTTATTTTTATTTTTTTTAATTAATATTATTAATAAAGTAAGGCCTGCACAGGAAACGGAAAAGGGGTCCATTGTAGTTGAAAGCATCTGAACTAAATTTGCTATTTCAAGATGAAATGTTTGCACACAAATTTATGCGGGGAATTTTGTTTTTTGATATTTTTAGTTAGTTTTATTTTTTTTTTAGCCAATCAGACATGATGAATGGCTGGTTAAAATGTTTAGAAGGAACTGTAATTTTTATTTACATTAATATGATAAAAAAAAAACAATACGATTTAACAGTTAAAATGTATATGATCACTTTTTAGATTTGCTAAATCCACAAATAGTAAAAAATGTATTTATAAGTTCAGCACATTAAGTTTGCTATTATTTTTATTCGCTCAGAGAACACGCAGATGCATAACTTGAGTAAGTTTGTGTCACAGCTGTTGCAAACTGTGTCCACCCTTCTGAAACTCTTTCCTCTCCCTCCCCCTTCTTTAACTATAAGGCAGGCCCGCAGAGCCGCGCAAACTTTCCCTGCAGCTCTGCAGAGACACTTTGGTTCTGTTCTCCTGGCGCTCTGGTCGCCGCAGCCCAGCCGGCCTCTCCTGAAGACTCGGAGTAAAAAAGCTGCCAAACCCTCCGTTTGATTCACTTCCTGTAGACGGGCTTCTACTCAAAAGTGGAGAGAAAGAGAGGGAGACACAGAGAGAGAGAGAGAGAGAGAAAGAAGGAGGGAGAAGAAGTCGGACACGGGAGTCATCGCATCTGCAAAGCTTCTGCCTGGTTGCCCAGATCTGAACGCGCTGCAGGGGTTCAGCGGAGAAAAACTTAGTGTCAAAAACAGAAACGGTGCACCAGATATCCAACGGATATTGCAAACCTTGACGCCGACTGACGCGCTGTTTCTTCCCCTGGTTCGAGGCGCAGAGTTTGGAGACGCTGAAGACTTGAGACTGCAGGACGGGGGGCGGTGGGGGAGTTCATGTACTGGAAAAATGAAGTTTTGTCCCCTCTCTCAGAGGGAAATAAGATTCTGTCTGAAGGAATTCCAACAAAGCAGGTACTGACACTTTGGGAAACTGTTATCAGGGGGTGCGTATAGCACCATTTTGCGCCTGGGTTTTGCGCAAACTCTGTGCGTAAAAAAACAAACAAACAAACAAACAAACAACAACAACAAAAAAACGCTCCTTCATTGCATGTCTCCTCCAGCCAGACCGCGCCGTTTCTTTGCATCCCGCAACCTCCGGCTTTGTGCGTCTTTTTTCTTTTTTCTTTTTGCCTCTGTGATGTCACGGGAATCACGGCTTGTGTACTGAGATCAGCCGCACGCGCCAGCCGCCGTGAGGAGGCACGCGCCCTCTCTGTTATGAATAGCGTGATTTGCGGTCCGCGAACCTCTCTCCCTCTCTCTCCTCCGTCTGTGTCGAGCGCAGCCAGTTTCGCCCTGAAGAGAATTAGATTTTAATTATAGCCATTAAAAATCAAATTTGCAATTCTTTGGGTGACCCGTTGCCTTCTGCTGATTGACAGATGAAATTGACACTCCGGGTCCCTCTTATCCGCAGCTATTTGTAATTACAGGTAGTTGTCCCCCCCCTCCTCCCCTCCTCCACTCTTGCTGTCCTGGATTGCGCAGAAAATACTATTATTCTCAGAGGCATGGGTTAAGGGCATGGGGGGAAAAAAATCAATCCAAATTGAAATAGCTTCATTAAAATGTGCCTTTTGTTGCGGAGGCCCCGTTAGCGGTTTTAAGCGCGGCTTATTGTCGGGACTGCTTTATAAAGGAGCAGCCCTGCATGAAGAGGGTTCCGCAAATGTCTCCCGGGGAATTTTTTTTTTTCTCAGCTGAAGATGAGATGTGGAAACTGATGAAGACCGGGAACTCACTGAAGGCTTTCTTGTAGGTGATCTGCGTCGAGCATCAGAGCACACCGGGATCCCCGCGCAGCACTGTGGACTCCAAACACACACCGATGGTGAGCGCCTCTCTATCGTTTGACATCAGTGCATCTGTTTAGAAGTGGGAAATCGCGCAATAAAAATGGCGACATGATCCGAACAGGATTTTTTTTTTTAATTTTATTTTTATTATAATGATTGCCTCTGTTTTCAGTCTCACTCGGACGGGGAGTCCCAGCGCTCCAATATGGAGCGGGAAGACATCCGCTCTCCTCCCAGCACTCCGTCCACCCCCTCCGTGTGCTCGCCGACCTCCACCGCCAGCTCCGTGCCGTCCACCGGGAAGAACGTGTGCGCCAGCTGCGGGCTGGAGATCCTGGACAGATACTTGCTGAAGGTGAGCCGGAGACCTACTCTATTTTAATTCCCGCTTCGTTAAAAAAAAAAAAAAAGGAAATCTTGTATGAAAATCGACAGACAACAGCCAGTCTGCAAAGTACAAACAGAAGCAAAGTGTGCGTGTTTACTGTGGTCTTACTGGGAATGTAACAGACGCGCTTGTGTGTTTGTTCTGGTGTGCTGGAGTGAAAAGAAAGTCTCAACATCTTAATGCGCCTATTGTGTTGGACGATGGCACCCAAACTGCGGAACGGCAAAGAGAGAGAGAGACAAAAATCTAAAGTATTTATACAACAAATTTAAAAAGGTTATCATTATTATTTGAACGGATCGTAAATGTTAACAGATGCGGCTGATGTTATCTCCAGCGTGAAATGTTCGGAAACTGGTTTTGTGAGGCCTGTTGTCTCACAACAACAATAATTACACATTCAAACTTTTCTGACAGTTTAAACAAAAAATATATATACATGCTGTAATAGACATTTTTATTGCTTAAATATTAACCTAAAAACAGCAATAATAAAATAGTTTCCCCTCGTTTTTCCAAGTTGTTGTTTAAATTCGACCAACTATTTAATCATTGAAATTATTTCAATAATATTTTGAAAATAATAAATGCATATAAGAATTATTTATGCTAAAAATATTTTCTTCAGTAAACGAAGTATCTAAATAGAAAATGACTATATTTACCGTGTTTCTAATTAAATACAGCGTTTAAAATATTTATTTTTATATTTTGAAATATAACAGAAATTATACATTATTATGTCAACTTCTTATTGTGAAATTTTCTTTGGTAATTCAACCCTACATAATTTAATATACACACTGACAATTTAGTGGTAAAGAAAACTCATAATTGTTAAAATATCATGCTGCTCTCTAAGGTTGCGGCTAACAAACCAAACAAAAGCCACGTTTTTCACAAGCTGTAAAAAATGGTTATTATTATCATCACCAAAATTATTATTATTATTATTATTATTATTATTATTATTATTATTATTATTTGTAGCAGTAGTAGTAGTAATGCTACATATCATTTTTAATAGATAAAAAATACAATACAATAATTGTCATAATAATTCACAGTATGTGAAAACATAAAGCTGGACTGACTTACAAAAAACAGCAACATCAAAACCGAGAAAAATCGAAACATTTTTTTTGACAATTTTCTTCTTTTTCTTTTTTTTTTTTTTTTTTTTTTACATTTTCCTACATGTAAATCATAAGTGATAGGCCTGATCTCTCTCGGGGGAAAACTGGCGATAATCTCGTTAACTGAGTCGAGATCAGCCTTTGTG